GCGGTGTTTAGCTTTCTATAGTAGTGTATGACCGTCCGAGCAGGAGGACGCCTCCAACGGCTCGAATATCAAGACAACGAGGCCTCGGACATGCCATGGCACCTTGGGGAGCCATGTTCCTTGGTGGCTAAGAAAATCCTAGAACCATTTTTGTACTTCCCTTGCCCTCTGGACATATAAGGCAGGGCAAGGCGCGCCATAGAGGCATCACTCCATTATCGGTCATTAGAGGCACCACTCGATATATCACCATATAAAACTTCCATGAGAAAACAAAGTCATTGCTCTCCTACCCCCAAAATTATTGTAATATCTTTTGAGCACTCTAATAAGAAATATCTTTGTTAGATATAGGGCTCGGCGCTCGAACCAGGACAAAGAAGGGTAGAAGGATTTTGAAAGCGTATTAAGATAGCAAGTGACGGTACTTATTCATTTACACTTAACATACGTGTTAAAATTGTCGTTGACACTAGTAGTTTTTCGTACAACGCTTATAGGAAGTACGTGGAGGATCCCAAGTGCATCGATCGAAGATCTAAGAAGAAGATTAAGAATGCCAAAACACTGAAAGTCAGGTGCAACTTCCCGGTACATATCAAAAGTCGTATGTACTATTATATTGTGCATGCTCTCTATATGTTCTAATGATTATGAATTATATATATTGTGCAGTGCTCCAAACAATCTCCTAGAACATTATTATGTGGATACTGCGTTTGTGAGTACCTCGGAGCGTGCGGCAAATTCAGCCATAGCGGGCGGTAGCTCAAGAAATCACAAGGTTGGTGGCGAAAGGAAAGGGTAACCCATGAGAACTTCACTCGAATAGTAGCGGACATATGTAAATTTGTCACGGACTCCTGTGTGCATGTTAGGCGACCATTCTTCAACGAGCTGAGGAGAGCGAGTTAATGACTGCAAAGAAGTTCGAGAAGATCAGAAACTAGAGCACCTAGCTACGCGTCCCGGATTACTTGTTGCCGAACCTATTTGGATTAGGAAAATTAAGGTAGCAGCATGTAAATATATGGCATGCATGTAATAACTTGAATGTTGGTACGTGGTACGATAAGGATGAGACACGAATGAATGTGATATATGTTTATGCTCTGTATGCGTATTTTTTGCTTTATTTGTATTTAATTTGCAAAATCAGAATTCGAATTCAAATCAGGAAATTATTTTTTTAACTGAAAATCATTAACGGAGGTGGGCATGTAATAAATAGCTGCATCGGTTAATCTGTTAGCGGAGGCGGGCTGCTTACCGCAACCGTCTTGATTAATAAATTAACGGAGGCGGGCTCGCTTGGTCGACCGCCTCCGTTAGTAGATATTAACCGAGGTAGTTGCCTTAAGGCGCCCGCCTCCGTTAATAGGTTAACCTAGGCGTGCATAGCAACCACGTCCGTAGGTCCGGATTAACCATGACCTTTTATCAGAGGTGATTGCGTTGTCCGTCTCCATTAACCTAAAACGCCCGCCTCCATTAAGCCTAATGTAGCAGTGAACCACCGAAATTTCACACATCAATCATCAAGTCATTATCCATAGTTAGGAACCCGCAACACTTAGTCACACTAGTGTTAGAAATTTAGACAAATTCACTACTAATTTAATCCTGAAAAATATTAACATCATGTCTGTGACATCAAAAAGGTGCACGTGTGATCTAGTCGTAAGCAGGTTAATGAACATAATACTAATCATGGATTCAAACATAGAAAATAGAAAGCGGGTTGCTATAGTAGCATTCTCAGCGGCACCAGAGCCATTTCCGCTAGTCGATATAGCGTTTGTTGATGCAGTCACCCCACTCGTCGCGGTACAAAAACGTAGCAGTGTTGATCACCACCATCAGAGAGAAACTGACCGTCAGGAAGTAGCAGGAAGAAGAAGTCGTAGAACCATCATGAAGTAGATCGAGCAGTCACGTGGAAGACGCTCCCAAAAAACTTGATTATCGGTCTTCACCCGAGCAGATGACCTTAAGAACGGCTTTGGTTTCGGAGGTCTGCTCTCCCTATTCCTTTGCGTGCAGAAACTGGGATGGGAAAGCTCGAGCAGCACAGCAGCAACGAGGTATTGTTCTTGGTTGGTTCTTCTCTCGCGCGAACGAGAGGAGTGCCCATTTTATGGAGCAATAGAGGAAGATGAAGATGAAGAGCCAAACACACGAAGAGATAGTAGCCATCATGTCATTGTCCGTTATCGGTAACTTATGGAACTGACAAATCAATTGTCTATTACTAGTAACGAAATCACTAAGGCCCTGTTCGCTTCGCTAAAAAATCAAGCCGAAACACTGTTCCGGCTGATTTGTTGTGAGAGAAAAACATTGTTCCGGCTAAAAAAATAAGTTGAAAAAGACGAATTATAAGAGAAGTGAACATGGCTTAAGACATCATGAACCACTAACATATAATAGTCATCATGATCCACTAATATATAATGGTCATCATGCACTTAACACTTATCAAACTATTAGTTACTCTGCATAAAGTATCCAGCAAATTATATCTAGCATTAACTTTGATCTTGGATTTTTGTTTGATTTAATTGCTAAATAAAAATTGGACAAATGCAATTAAACCCAACGACTAGTGAGAAAAGAACAGGGTATGTGAATAGAAACGGAATAGTCTCGTGGTCGTTCGTTAAAAAGAAAAGAAACAAAGAACATGTGAGGAGCAAAACCATGAGCAGGCGTCCAAACAATCAGTGCTGTTACGCAAGCGCTCGTGATGGTGCTTACGCAAGCGCTTTGGTCATATACCATCAGCCTAATCGACAGGCCGTAAACGGTAGTGGATTATTTACTACTATACCGTTCTAACTTATAATCCACGATCGTATACGAGCACATATGAGAAGCCTGGGACTGTAGGAGGGTTCCATTGGCTGTCCTGCGTGACGCAATGCGTGACTGCACCTGCACTGCAGGCTGCAGCATCGACGCACAATAGTTCCGTTGACTGTAGTTAGTGGTGGGGCCTTAATGGCGAATGTTTTGCTACCACAATAATAGAAAAGAGACTATTAGCCTGTTCGTTCATTGGTTTCAACCAGGTCTTATCAATCAGTCAACGGTATTTTTCTCTCACAATAAACTAGCACTAGCCGGGTTTATCAGCCCAGAAACTAATCAGCGAACAGGCCGTATGTTGGACGCCCGTATTCACTTGTTGCCACATTTTTATCTTGTACACAGCCATATGATTTAAATCGCTTTTGAAAGTTATTAAAACAATAAACGTGTCAATTCTCCTTAAAATATTTCAAATATTTTCTTTTCCAGAAAATCTAAATACTTTCTGTGCCGCATCATCTATTATCACCTATATATAGATAGTGTTGTAGGACGATATTACCAGGCCGCAACAAAGTTGTGGTGTAGCATCCATATGGTATTTATATACCATACTAAGTAGAGGTTTTTTAATAAATAAACAAGATATGCCTATTTTTAGATAATAATGGTATTCAATGGGATGAACACCGGAGCCCATTAGTTTTCAATTTATTTATATCTATAGGTCATGTATTCCATGTACAAAAACTACAAAACTGGATCTATGAAATTATCATGGAACTACAACATGAAATTTCTATATATTTTTAGAAATTAAATTGGTATAGTATATATATACCTTCCTGCATTACGCCCCCTCTAATTATAGCCGTCCTTCTGCTTCCTTACGTGGCCACTCTTTAAAGCAACTCAATCAAGAACCCTCAAATCAAAGTCCTTATTTTTTTTATTTGAGGGTTCCACTACTTTTGAGAGTCTAGTTTGTTGTGCATATACTCAAACATAAGCCTTCAAATCAATGATCTCAAATCCAACCAAATAGACACATATGCATAGGACCCAATTGTCATCGACTTACGGTCAAATCCACTGTCGGGTGGAACTGAGGGTGCTCGACGGGAGAAGTCAGGGAGCCGTCGCTCGGAGGGGCTCCCTTGGTGAGTTCGCCGGGGGGGCTCACCAGAGGGAGGTTGGAACGAAGCTTGGCATGGGGGGAGAGGTTGTCAGGAGAGAAGTTGTTAGGGAGGACGTCGCTGGGGCACTAGCGCGCCAGCATGGGATTCGTCAGGCGAGGGACGTCGGGCTATCAGGCAGGGGAGCCACACCGGGCGCTCAAGGGAGAGGAGGACACCAGAGGGGAGGAGGATCTGGGCGGCCACGCTTTTGCTTCCTATCGAGTGTGGGTGAAGAAACCAAAGCACCTGACGTTTGATGTCATGAAACAGACTCCCAAGAATGAGGGTTGGGAGGAGATTTGAGGGCCTTCTCAAATTTGAGGTCCCTAGGATCTTGTTGGAGTTGATTTTTTTTTGGCTCGAACTCTCATATTTGGTTTTGAGAGTCTAAGTAGGGGCTTGCTGAAGTTGCTCTTATGCATCTTACTCTCAACACAAAAATTATGGTATCAAGGGGATCTATATTTTGACCCACTTTTTATGACTAAGCTGACTATTTTCTACATTTGTACATATTTTAACATCTATCTATGATTAAAAAACAATTACATTTATTATAGCAGGCCTCATTAGTTTACGCTTTGTGAACAGGCAACTCATTTCTTTTTGTCGACTAATGTCAGTTTTTTAGAATCACACATGTTAATGTGAGATTGCTATGTTTTTTTCTCTTAGGTTTTCTTATATATGAAACGCTTTGGTGCACTGAGTGTTGGAATCTCATGGTTTTAGTCATTCAGATAGTTTGGTGCTAATCAAGGTATCAAAGGGTCTACTTAGTATCCCTGTGCTTGTAGAATATATTCCCATTTTACCATTTGAAAAAAACATGCTTATAATGTTTTTAGCAAAACATAATATAAACATAAACGCTTGCATATGGCACATGTACAAGTCAACTCGAGCGTTGTGTATTTAAGCTGCAGCGCACGGCACACGGGGTACGCATCGCACATCACCCTGATCTTCTTGTTCTCTGCTCTCTCACACTTCGCCAAGAAGCCACGAATAATGGCGACCCGAGCTCTTCCGCTGATGCTGCGTGAGGCCTCCCCGTGGGCCGTGGCCGCTGCAGCGGCAGCCGCGGCGGTGCTGTGGCTGGCGGACTGGACGCTGGAGTGGGCGTGGTGGACGCCGCGGCGGCTCGAGCGAGCCCTCCGGGGACAGGGCCTCGATCGAGGGCACCAGGTACCGCCTCTTCACCGGCGACATCACGGAGAGCACCCAGCTGAACCGAGAAGCCCGCGCGAAGCCGCTGCCGGCCGGCTCCCACGACATCGTCCGCCGCGTGCAGCCCAAGCTCTATGACACCGTGAAACAATACGGTAATACACGATGTATATATAAACACCGCGAAAGAATATGGTATATATGCTATTTACTCCGTGGCCACCCATGCAAAGACTGATGAAACTGGAGCTCAAAATTCAAATGCAGGAAAGCTGTCCTTGACTTGGTTTGGTCCGACGCCGAGGGTGATGATTCCAGACCCAGCATTAGTGAGAGAGGTTTTGTCCAACAAGTTCGGCCACTTCCCCAAGCCCAAGAGTAGCCGTGTTGCCAACTTGATAGCCAACGGGATTGTCAGTCATGAAGGCGACAAATGGGCAAAACACCGGAGAATTCTGAATCCTGCTTTCCACCATGATAAACTAAAGGTGCTAGACTAGAATCCATGACTTTCTGCCCCCTAGTAGTTACGATATTCTATTTACTAGAATCCATGAACTTTTTGTTACCAAAATAGTATATGTTGAACTAGCAAGAATTACCAGATTCATGCAACAAGAGATTTATAAAAAAGTAAACGCTCCTAGCAAGAGTTGCAGTAACTCCACATAAGGATTATTGTAACATTCCGTTTGATTTATTTCTCGTAACAGGATTATGGTAAATTCATCTTGTTATTATAGTAAATTGTTGCTCATATAGCTTGCATCCAAATTGTAGTAACTCCAAAAAATAATTACTGTCGCACTTTTTTTTTGTTGTTGTTCATTATATGGTAAATTTATCTTGTCTTATAGTAACTTGTTCCAAGAGACAATTTATTGCATCATCCTGAAACCAAATTTTACATAAACAAGATTATGCTATCAAAGCACATTCAAATTATCGTAACAAATTCATCTCATCGTTGTACCTCACAACACAATTAGGCCTAAATATGGTAATTCCAAAAATTCTCCAGAAAAATTATTGTCACCCTTACAGGTAGCTCTTGAACAGCCACCCTAATCGCAATTACATAGAAGTTTCAATATTCTTGCGTGGTCTAGAGGTTAATCTCAGATAAATTTGCCCAGACGCACCTCATTTCTTCAGAAAATAAAAAAAAAATATGATGTGAAAGAACAGTAATAAACTATTTGATACATTAGAAAACAGATTTTGTCGCTGCTCACCTGTTTTGGATTGACGTCTCCGCTAGCCTGTTTGGGCGGGAATATGAACGCCAGTCGCCAGGAGCTGCTGCAGGGCGTCTGTCGCCATTGACCACCAGGGATGGATGGCCTCCAGGCCCTCCACAACCAAGCAGATGAAGCGATGAACAGAATCAAGAACACGTGCATGCAGTTTTGCTCAGCTGTCTCCTTATCTAGCTGGCTCAATCGGACATTCGGACGGGATCAGCCGGCCTGGATGGGGATATGGTCACCCGGCCCGATCGCACAAGCGTCGGCAGCCGCGGCGCTACCTGGACATCGCTATTGGAGGACTGGGGCATCACCACGGACGGGAAATCACAGCGCAATATGCAGCGACGGAGAAGATCGAGGAGCAACGACATCGCCGCCGAGATGAGTGGAGGCGCCGCCGACGAGATGGTGGAGGCACCGCCGCCGCCTCTGGAGGTAGGAAGGCCCGCCGCTGGATGCAGGGGGTGTCCGATGCCGAATTGCCGATTCACCGTTGAGGAAGGGGCGCCGTGGATCCCATGAGAATGACGCGCACCGCCGACCGGGGAAGGATCAGATCGACATGCCGTCGCAGTGTCCGGTGTGGTGGAACGCCTCCAACAGCGAATAAGCAAAGCGTGTTTTTCTGGCCAGATTGGGCGGCGAACCAAGCAGGTGTTCTCGTGGCCGGTGGAAGGAAAGAGAAAAATGTGGGGGATTAAATCAACGCATGCATGCATTAGTTCGACGGGGACCACCTGAGTCAAAGCCAATTCCTATTTTGTAGCCAATGCACGTGACCTGGCCTCGGGCTCGCTCGCGTGTTGCGGTCCGTCTGGTGGGCTCGCGAGTTTTGGTCTGGCTACAGAATAGACTATTTTGTAGCCGGCTATAGTCTATAGTGTGTGTATATATATATATATATATATATATATATATATATATATATATATATATGTGTATGTATGTATGTATGTGGTGTCTCTAACTCTCGAGTGTTCTACTTACTGATGATGTTTCTTCATTTACAGCGAATGCTTCCCCTGTTCTCTGCTTGTTCCGTTGAAATGGTCACTAGATGGGAGAACTCCACGTCTTCTGAAGGTTCTTCTGAGAAAGACGTCTGGCCTGAGTTCCAGAATCTTACTGGAGATGCCATCTCTAGAGCTGCGATTGGTAGCAGCTATCAGGAGGGGAGAAGAATTTTCCAGTTGCAAGAGGAGCTAGCTGAGTACATCGTACAACCTTTTCAAGCAAATGTTATCCCAGGCTATTGGTTTGTTCTTTCTCCTTTAAACAGCCGAGTTCTTTTCTATAGGATCAGGATGGCGTCGCAATAAATCAAATTGGAGCATTTGCTAAAACACCTACTTATTCAGTTTCTACATCATTAATTTATTACTAGTTCCTATCCATATTTTTAATAGACTTTTTACAAAAAAAAAGTTGACCTTTCAGTCTTCCTTGCTCAAGAATATCTTAGCTTGATCGTATCAGCCAGACTTATCAGTCATGATACAGTGTTTTCCTCTCACAACAAAACAGCGCCAGCCGGCTTATAGAAACGATCAAGCGAACAGGTAGGCAAACATATCGCTATCGATGTTCTTTATTTTCAGTGTTTGTGCCCAACAAACATGTGTGGTAGTGGTAGCAATAGCAATCATCAATTTGTTCTGTGATAACGCGGTAAAAATTATATGCAGGTTCTTACCCACCAAAGGCAACAGGAGGATGAGAGAGATTGACGCGGAGGTTCGCAAAACTCTACGTGGAATAATCGAGAAAAGAGAGACGGCTATTAAAAACGGTGACACTAGCAACGACGACTTGCTGGGCTTATTGTTGGAGTCAAGCGTGAGGGAATCAAACGGAACATCAAGTCTAAGCATGACCACGGAGGACATGATTGAGGAATGCAAGCTATTCTACTTCGCAGGCATGGAGACAACGTCTGTCCTGCTCACTTGGACACTGATCGTGCTAAGCATGCACCCGGAATGGGAGGAACGGGCAAGAGAAGAAGTCTTGGCTCACTTTGGAAGATCTAACAAGCCAGATTATGATACCTTGAGCCGCATGAAGATTGTAAGCCCAAAGCCAATATTCTCTTTTATTTGTAAATCCAAAGCCAGGTATATATTGTTAACTGTGTTACACCTTTTGCATGCAGATAACCATGATTGTCAACGAGGTCCTGAGGCTATACCCGCCAGCAACCTTCGTGATGAGAAGAACCTACAAGGAAATGGAGCTCGGCGGCATCAAGTACCCGGCAGGGGTGAATCTCATGCTGCCCATTCTCTTCATTCACCACGATCCCAGCATATGGGGAGACGACGCGAGCGAGTTCAATCCAGCAAGGTTCGCCGACGGCGTTTCCAGCGCGACCAAGCTGCAAGGCGGCGGCGGCTTCTTTCAGTTCGGTGGCGGTCCCCGGATCTGCATCGGCCAGAACTTCGCGCTGCTGGAGGCCAAGATGGCACTCTGCACCATCCTCCAGCACTTCTCCTTTGAGCTCTCGCCGTCCTACACCCATGCGCCGTACACCGTGATAACTCTGCATCCTCAGCATGGGGCACAAATCAAGCTGACGAAGCTGTGACCATATGACACTCATTGAGTGGCAACATCTATATATATAAATATACGTGGTGCTAGCTTTTACATGCTCTAGTATAGTATAGTATAGAGTTTGAGATTTTACATGATGTTTGTAGCTTTGAAAATGAAAAAACAGAGTCGATCTGTGGGTATTGAATGGAGAAATTATTGCTTAATGGAAATAGCACTGATCATATTCATAGCCTGCGCAGCCTGACCGGAACTCCGTGCACGTACGCCGGCGACAGCTCGAACGCGAAGCGCTGCAGGATCATGGTGACAGCCAGCTTGGCCTCCACGAGCGCGAAGTTCTGGCCGATGCAGACGCGCGGCCCCCAGCTGAAGGGGACGAAGGCCCCCGGGTCGCTGCACGCCTTGGACACGCCGTCGGCGAACCTCCCCGGGTTGAACTCGCCGGCGTCGGACCCCCACAGGGCAGGGTCCCGGTGGAGGAACATGACGGGCGTCGTGAGCATGACCCCCACCGGGTACGTGACGCCTCCCAGCTTCGTCGGCTGGTGTGTCCGGCGGTTCATGGCCACCACCGGAGGGTACAGACGCTGCACCTCGTACAGCACCATGGTCACCTGTTATGTATGTTACCAAGAATACACAAAATGGCATAACCAAAACCAATCATGTTAATTATCAAGTGATGACAGGATTGTGCAGTAGTGAGATCGACTCACAACTTTTAGGCGTGCCACGCCATTGAAATCCAGCTTGTTTTGACCAAAGACTTGCAGGACTTCCTCCCTGGCACGATCCTGCCACTCCGGGTGCATGCTCAGCAGGACCATCGTCCATGTGAGCAGCACACCGGTAGTCTCCATGCCTGCGAAGTAGAACACCTTGCACTCGCCGATCACCTCTTCCACGGTAATCCCCTTGCTGGATTTGCCATCCGAGTCACTGTAATTCATGTTCGACTCCAATAGCAATCCCAGCAGCTCGTCCTTGGTTGCTTCACCGCTCGTAACAGCCTTCTGTCTCTTCTCTATTATGCCCCTCAGGATCGTCTTGACCTCGCTATCGACTGCATTCATCCTCCTATTGTTTTCTGTTGGCAAGAGACTGAAGAGTAGTATATACATAGTACATCATCAGCTACTTAATTTAAAAATGGATATTGTTTTCTTTTGTAGTAAAACTACAAGAACTTTTTTGAAATGATAAAACAATGGTACACAATTGGGTAGTAGAGTTATAGCATTTGGAACCATACGAGAAGCCAGGGATGTAATTTATCCTGAAAGATTGAACAAGGCGTTCAGCTTGCTCGGCCTGAAGTAGGAAAATTCTTCTCCCTTCTTCATAACTAACACCGAATGCAGCTCTTGAAATTACATCTCCTGATAAATTTTGGAACTCTGGCCACACATCCAGCTCGGTTGGTTCAACAGAAGCAGAAATCTGTTTCTCCCATCTGTCAACCAGTTCGTCGCAACATGCCAAGAATGCTGGCAGCATTCCCTACAGCCATTTCCAAGTGAAGGGTTAGCAGGCCCAAATTTTTTCCCTTTTTTCTTTGCAACAAAGCTTAATTCAACTTTGTTTCAATGTTAACTTGTGTTTTTGTGTTGTCCTGCTTTTACGAGCTAAGAGCATCTCCGACAGTTTTTCAAGACTTGAGAAATCAAAAGTATTTCAAGTAGAAAAAAAACAAGGACCTTATCTTTTTTTTTTATATGAATGAGTGCCGATTGTATTAAAAAGAAGAAGAAATCCAAATTAGGTAAAACAACAAAACAATAAGGAGCTTATCTATTGCATGTCTCCAACGGTTTTCAATAATTTACTCTAAAAATAAAAAGGGCTACCACGACTGCCACTCTATCGTCGTTGCGGTCACCGGTCAGCCGCCTCGCAGCCAGTCATCCCTGGCACCTAATTTACAGCTAGAACCTTCGAAACAGAATCTCCAACAGATTAAATTCTTAGCCCCGTTTAGTTTCGAAATTTTTTGGCTTTTGGCTACTATAGCACTTTCGTTTTTATTTGGCAAAAATTGTCCAATTATGGACTATTTAGGCTTAAAAGATTCGTCTCACGATTTCTCGGCTAACTGTGTAATTAATTTTTTTTTCGTTTACATTTAATACTCTATGCATGTGCCGCAAGATTTGATGTGACAGAGAATCTTGAAATTTTTTTTTTTTGGCTTGGAACTAAACGGGGCCTTAGATCTGAAAATAGCGGCCAGAGATCAGATTCCAGCAAGTCTTCTAGGTGGCGGCCGTCCCAGCATTCATTGCCACCATTGTCAGCCATCCCTGGCACCCTAGTTCACACATAGAACCTACAAAATGAAACCACTATTGGCTGCTCTACTTCCAGTACTCAGATATAAAAATAATGGCCGGAGATTCAATTCCTGTGCCTACCATGGTCAAGGCAAGGACAAGTGTCAAAGAAAAAACCCCTCCTCCCCGAAAGGGAGCAGTGGTTATCTATGTATCTTTACTAGTTTTTCGGGCGCGCCCATGCGCGCGGTCTACTGGCCACACGTATTTTTTGGAGAAAAAAAAAGATATAATCAAAGTTAGGCTGTATTTTGATTTGAGAAAAATCTGAGGATGTTTTCGCAAAAAACGGTGAGAGTGTCTGGGGAGCGCGAGTTGATTTTCGATAAAGTGGAGGTCTTTTTTGCAAACAAACCAGTGCCTATCCGGTCTGGACTGAGCGTTGATTTGGAAATAATACGAGACGTTTTTTGTAAAAATTTCTGAGAGGACGTCTGGAGCGCGGGTTGATTTCCGAAAACTTAAAGGAGTTTTTCGTAAAACGATCGCAGCTCGCCCGATCTGGGCCGTCCGCGCGGCCGATCGAACGACCGCGAAAAACCGACGACGTGGCCACCCTGAGGCCGCGCCGTGGCCACACCAAATCATATCTTTAGATGCGTGGATGGCAATGTTTTTCCAAGCATAGATAGATTGGAAGTTAGCAAAGGGAGTTTTTAGGCCAGTCTCGTTGGATAGTTTCATCGCGTTTTTTTTTTCAAGACAATGAAACTTAGATAAAATACACACTCTTAATGCAAAGTTTCTTTCTATAGTTTCATCGGTATTTAATTTCATGATTCAATGATAGTTGGTAATCGTGCCAAGAGAGTTTTATTTATTTCTTCTCTCTCTTCTTAAATACTAGGTAGCGTGTCCATGTGTTGCTACAGTATAGCTAACATTTTATACTAAAAACATACGGATCGCACGATAAGATAACAATACTATAAAAATTAAATACCAACGTTAAAGTGATATTTAATCCAAAAAGCAATGTTTATGAATTTAACACAGTCACGGAGTGCGCGGCGTCGCAGGCTCACAAACTCTACCTTATAGACCTTTCCGTGATGCGGCTAAGATAATGTTTTATATTAGCAGAAAGAAATCTCCAATATCTATTTCTTTCGTACTCACAAACTAATGACCCTAGTGCAACAAAGGGAAATGCAAAGGAGCTATCCTCCTGAATGCGCGGAACCAACGCCACTACGATCGTGCCATCCTACGACCACTGGTATGGTGTTGTTTAGCACTATTGTTCATTATTATCGCTAACTTGCATCATTGGTTTTATTCAAGTAATTTATGTTTGTAATTATGCAGGTGCTAATTCGGTTGATCCCACATTGGCACATGAGAAAAGTGGGAAAAGTTGACAAAACTCATGGCTTTGAGAACATACACATGTAATAGTTATGAATGGTTACAAAACAAAATATTATGAACAAAACACCCAAAGTGTTATTTTTATAACAATAATATAACACATGTTCAATTTTCATTATGCCATCACACAAGTGTATATACAACATCTCCGTGTAGAGTCTGATAAACTATTTAAAAATACCTAGGAACAGCAACAAATATGACATTAGTGAGATATTATTTGTAAAATATAAATTAAAAGGAAAACATGCATTGTATGCGTTAGTAATGTTCTGTTACCTCGCCTATAGCGTTAGAACCTCCTTAAATACAATATTCTTCGTGAAAGTTCCATCCGCTATTGGGGTCTTCTTATCCTCATCTTTTTTATTTGGCGCATTCTTATTTTTTCCCTCAACATTCTTTTTAGCATTTTTCTTCTCTATCTTTTTGGCCTCCTCCTCTTGTGCCTTCGCATCAGGCAGGAGGGCAATGATCTTAATATTGGTTCTTGACGTGGCTCTAGACATCGCAACGTACAACTGACGTGAGAGAACACTGGTGCGGGTAGGTACGCACCCACGTTCAAGATAGTTTGGCCCTGTGACTTGTTGATCGTCATGGCAAAGCTCAACCTGATAGGAAACTGCTTCCTCTTAAACTGGAACGGGAACATCTCATCATCAGACGGGCATAGCGGTATTCGAGGAAGGAATACCCGCTTCCCAGCATGCTGCCCCACCATGATTTCCGTGTTGATTGTATTTTTTCAGAACCCCCGCACCACCAGCCTTGTACCGTTGCATAGCCCATTGGCAGGGTCAATATTCCTAAGCAATATGACAGGACACCCGAGCTTGAGCTTCAAGACGTGTGGTGGCAGCCCATTGGGGGTCAAACTGTTAAGGAACTCCGATGGATAGTAGTTATGTGGATCATCTACCGTGGAGTCAAAACTGTGATACATAGTCTCCCCGCCCTGGAACATATTAATTATTTTCATATTGATCATGTCCACCCAATCGTTACGTGTAGATAAAATCGCTCTGGTGGTGATGTAGTCTGTGTCCACCATGTTTGCATTTAGATCTAGAAAGATGATGTCGATCAATGTATAAAGATCTTTTTCGGCATCGCCAGAGTACGGGACACATATCTCGTCTAGAATACGTACATTGCCATCTCTGTTAACCTCTTTCTTTCCACCACCAATGTGCAACAGATAATCTGCAAACCACGGGTCACTCTGAGCCCTCATGTTGCGGACGAGCTTTAGGTGGCACATGGATTCCCAAAGATACGACCTTCGTAGAGAAGCACCGACTATTTGAGCTCTGGATCCTTTCCG